ACCATGTACTTCCTCCTTCCATTTCCTCTGTTTCTTCTCACACTCTTTCTACTTTCCATGTTCAAAAGTAGCAAGAACTCATCCATGACCAAAACCAAACTCCCACCAAGCCCTCCAAAGCTTCCCATCATAGGCAACCTACACCAACTTGGAAAATTGCCTCACCAAAGCCTACACAAACTTTCCCAACAACACGGCCCGATCATGCTACTAAAACTCGGCACCGTACCGATTCTAGTCGTCTCGTCGCCTCATTTCGCGAAACAAATCCTTAAACAACATGACATTAGCTTTTGTTCCCGGCCGAGCTCGCCGGGAACAGAGCGCCTTTTCTACAATTGCTCTGACGTGGCCTTCTCGCCGTTCGGCGACCACTGGCGAAACGCGCGCAAGATCTTCGTCGGCCATCTGATGAGCGCGAAAAGGGCCGAACTCTTCGCGCGAGTGAGGGAGATAGAAATCGAAGGCTTCGTCGATTATCTGTCCGCGGTCTCGACGAATCCGATCGATCTCGACGAGAAGATCTTCGACGTGATTGGTGGAATTGTCGGTAGAGTTGCATTTGGCAAGAGCTATAGATGGAGAGAGTTTGAGGGAGTAAAGTTGAAAGGTGTGATGGATGAGGCTATGCAAGTGATTAGTAGCTTCTCGGCCGAGGATTTCTTTCCGTTCTTCGGTCGGTTTGTGGATTTTGTGAGTGGGCACAAAGCAAGGGTGGAGAATTGCTTTCGCACGATCGACGGCTTCTATGAGATGATTCTTGACGAACATTTTAATCGGCGGGAAGACGGTGAGGAGGAGGAGGAGGAGGAGGATTTTGTTGATGTGTTGATTGGGTTGTTAAGAGAGCAAAATGGGCTTCTCCAAAGCAAGGAACATCTCAAGGCTTTGTTGATGGTAAAAAATTTTAAAACTTGACTTTTTTTTTTTCTTTTTTGGCAATATTCGGATTGTAAGATTTTATTTTGTTGTTTTGGTTGAAGAACACATTTCTTGGGGGAGTCGACACGAGCGCCATAGTAATAGTGTGGGCGATGTGCGAGCTCATAAGAAACCCGCGGGTTATGAAGAAAGTCCAAAAGGAAATACGATGCAAGCTAGGAAGGAAAACGAGAGTGGAGGCTAACGACATTGATGACCTAACGTACATGAAAATGGTCGTTAAGGAAGTCTTAAGGTTACATCCACCGGCGCCATTTTTGGTGCCCCGTGAATGCATGCGCGCGTGTAAGATTAGCGGTGAGAATGGCGAGGTTTACGATGTCTACCAAAAGACGAGAGTTCTTGTCAATGCTTGGGCAATCGGGAGGGACCCAAACAAGTGGAGGAATCCTAACGAGTTTTTTCCCAAACGATTTGAAAAAAATGATGTCGATTTTAGAGGGCAACATTTCGAGTTTGTGCCGTTTGGAGGTGGTAGAAGGATTTGTCCTGGCATAAGCAACGGCCTAGCAACTGTTGAGCTGACATTAGCCAATCTCTTGTATTGGTTTAATTGGGAAGTTCCTAAAGGTATGGAGTTGGAGGATGTAGCTAGCTTGGAGGAAGAAGGTGGAATTACTGTTCATAAAAGGACACATCTTACTCTAGTGCCCATCAAGTATAGTTTGGAATGAAACGTGATTTTGTGGCTTGGGAGTGTCGTGTGGTANAAAAAATAAAAAAAAAAGAAGAAGAAGAAGAAGAAGAAAAGAAAAAAGGATAATGGTGGTCGAAGGTATACATTGAAGGACAATGGGTGCGGGCTGTCAATAATAGGACAAAGGGTGATGTTTTGTTATTATCTCTTAATAGTGGGCTTGGTTTGTTGTGCTTATTGGGCTTCATAGCATTACATTTTAGGTTTAAGTATATACATGGATTATATTGTTTCACGAAAGCCAATATTATAATATCTATACTTATATTAAAGGGAGTCATATTTACTAAATTTAGTACCTAGAAAAGTCAACAACATTTATTGCCATTACTATTTCCGTATTATACAGTTTTATTTATTTCTGTTACGATTTTTAAAAACAGATATGGTCAAATTCTCTCATCATTAATTACTTTTCATTAATTACAATTTTTTTATTTATTATTTTCTTAACAAAAACGGACCAAAATTAATTGATTTCCTTAAAATGTGAAAGTTGTTGCTTTATTTTTGTACAGAAAATCGGGCTTCATTATAGAAATTTGTTCAATTACACAATGAATTTGCTATGATATAATTATTTTTTATTGGAACTTTTTTTTTAACAGAAAAATATGGCATTTCAATAAGATTTTTGATTTCTTAAGACTGATTGTTATCATGCTATGAAATTGAACATTCCAATATACTTTAACAAAATATACACGTGGTGTATACATCAGTTAATAGAAATATATAATACTCATATTTTATATATATGTATGTAATTTTTCTATTACCAAATTTAATTGATAGTTGTTGTGTGATGGGTTTTTTCATAATTGTTACTTGGTTGTTGTGATATTTAGTTTGGTTGGTGTCGCAAAAATTCTAATCTATATATATAATAAGAATAATCATTACAATGCAAATTAGAAAAATATTGATATTAGAAGAGATTAAGTTCATGGCTTTTCTTAAATCAAAGTTGTTTAATTAGTATACAAAATTAAATTCTAAACAAATATATGTGTATATTTTGAACATTATTTATACACTATTTAATTTTAAATTTATTTACATATTTTAAATTGATTACTTATATAAATAATACCAACGTGCATTAAATATATTTCATTACATAAAATAAAAAGAACAAGAAGACGTGCAACTTGTATAACTTTATAAATAATAATAACATTATATGACAACAGAGTTTAATAATTAACTATTATATAGCGAATAAGAATAAGTAAAATTTTTCTTTTCTCTTATATCAAGGAATAAATATATATAACAAAATTAAATTTATATTAGTATAAATGTGTTAGTGAGATAATATATTAATTATTTTAAAAGTTAGCCCTAACATGCTCACGTTTAATGTTGTGACTAATAAAACAACGCTGATTAAAAGATGTGAAAAATAGATTACAACCCTATTTTTTTAGACTTAACGGTGATTAAAAGAGATGGAAAATAGATGATAACTCTTTTCAGACTTAAACGAGACTTAACAGTGATTAAAATAGGTTGAAAATGGATAATAACCCTTCTCAGACTTAAACGGACATAGCCTGTGAAAATAATTCATTTAATATCTCTCTCTCGTGCATCGCACGGGGTACGTACTAGTAATTTTTTATTTACCATTTTTTAATCACTATTCCAATTATTTTAGCTTTCTTGATTCCAAAAGTATATAGAAAGTGGATTCTAATGATATTTTTGGTGCTTGATTGTTTTTTTAGTAATAACATGTAACTTACACAAAAACTATGAATCTCTCTCCTAAATAATTGCCATTCTTTCTCATCTTATCTCTTTCATAATTACATTTTTTAACATATTTTCTCTCCTTTATATCACTTACATTTCTTTTTTCTCCCCAACATATTTATCACAAATAATTATCTCATTTTGTTTCATTCATAATTATATCTTCATCATATTTTGAATTTAAAGATCACACAAATCTTTCTTTGCTTATTTCATTTTTTTCATTTTAAAGATCACTTGAATTTAATATTTAATAAATGAGTTAACAATGTTTCTTCTATTTGATAATAGAGTTAACAATGTTTTATTTTATAATTCATTTTTTATATTCTTTTATTAGATAATTGCAATAACAATGTTTTGAGATTTTTGGTGAACATATAGTAACAAATTTCTTTACAATCCAAAATTTTTAATTGAATTTGTAACGAGATTCTAACACCATATTCTAACGGAATTTCTTCCATTTATTTATTTTGTATATATTACAATACTAAATTCTTTTATTTTTTTTTTTTTGTTCAAATTATCTTTTCATGGACCCGTATAACACTGTTGTTACTAGTAGAGTATATTACTCTACTTATAAGAATGAAATATGCATTTAATCGTTGAAGAATTAATTCAATAGAGTTTTACAATGGGTGAATGAAACTTGTAACAACTAGTTAGACAAAATATTATTATATAATTATCTTAACTACGAAAATATCAAAAACCGTTAGATTCCACTAACCATAATGCCCATTGGAAAACTTGCAGGGAAAATACACATGATTTAACAATAAGTTGGCAACTCATTCAGCAAATTAAGACTTAACCAATTGTACGTATTATTAGATTTTATTCATTACAAAACTTCTGCATACTTATTTCAACCACTCATATTAAAACTACACAATCTTATTGAACAAATCCATAATTAATAATTAAGCAGTCCAAGATAAAACAAGAAAAGAATAAGGAAAAAAATAATAAAAATTCTGCTCTTATCATCTTATAAATCCTTACGACTAATCCGTACCCAGAAATCGTACACAATCAACATTTTGCCTTTTGGTCCTCATATTGTGCTTGATCGACTTTATCGCATTCATTATCACAAGTGTGATATTCCATCTCACTATTTTCGGAGGACAGAAAATAACACTTATGGACTATTTTGTTCGGTTCGATTTTTTCTTCATCTTCTTCGGCTAATAAGTACGCAGGTACCTCAGATTCCATTCGTTCCCATTCTTCAATGTCATAGCCGTTTTCTACATAGTTAGCTCCTGACATGGCTTGTGCTTCTAGTGAAACTCTCATAATTCTTGGTACTAAAAAAGATAGAAAAAACAGAGAATGTATATAACTTTAAAGAGAGAAAAATTAAGTAAAAGGGTTCTTTTCTTTTCTTTCTTTTATTCTTTTTTTTTTTTATTGGTTTTGGTATAAGAATTTGCTGCAAAGCTACCAAATATATATACTTGCCCATGCATGGAATATTCGGGTCTAACTTGACGTACGATTCAAAACTTTTGAATCGTACGCGATTTTGGTAAAACATTCATGTGATCTTGGTGCTGGCATTTTTTTGTTCATCGTAATTTCTTATTCTTTCAACTTTCTAACATATAATACGTAAGATTGTGATGTAATCAGCTGATTATTCAATATTCATTACGTAGAACGTGTTGGTTTTCAGATGTTGGCCAAACGATTTTCGCGTTGATTGGGATACTTTAGACTTTAGAGAGCCGCCAAATGACGAGTATATGTTATATACAGAGGATGTATATATGAATTACTTAATTATCATCACGGCTTAAATTGAAAAAGTTTGATTTCATTTGTTTGGTGTGGCCTACGAAGTTGCAGTATGTACTGATTTATTACACTTTATGTCACGAGTATAATATGGACCGTTTGAAGAGAAAAAGGATTCAAAAGTCTTGACAAAATTGAGTTTTCATTATGAGATACCTTTTTCACGTGACCAGTGACGAATCTAAGATTTTTACTCAGGGGGTTCCAATTTTAAATACAAAATAACGAGCTTGTAGTTTAAGTCAAAACACTCATTTCATTATAAAATATGTTTACTTATAAATATAAATATCGATATATATACCATCAAGTTTTAAGAAATTTAGAATCTATATCACCATCAAAATTTTACAAAAATAAACAGAAACTAATAGATTTCATGTATTTATAATTTAATTTCAACATCTATAATTTATAAAAAATTAAGTTTTTTTGATTTAAAATTTGATTTAAATTTAACATTTACAGCACGTTGCATTGCATTTTTGTTGATTAGAGCTTATCAAACGACCACTTTTTTTTAAAAAAAATAAATAAAATTAAAAATATGTGATTACACAAAAAAAAATAAAGTAAACAATAAACATTCAAAAATCTAACAATCCAACTAAATACTCGATTTTATAAATCACTAAATCGATTTACAATTAAAAGGCCGAAAGAGTAAATCATTATAAATATGTTTAAAAATTTATCTAATAATGTAAACCATAAGGATCGTTAGTATATTTTTCAATAAATAGCATAGAAACTAAGTTTTAGTTATTTATATTAATTTAAATTAAAATATCATAAAAACTAAGTTTTAATTATTTATATAATATAAATATTATTTTGTATTTTTGTCCATATTTTATAGTATTTTATTTTTATATGTATATATATATATATATATATATATAATGATATTTAAAAAAAAAAATGAGGGGGTTCCATGGCCCCCCTGGACCCCATGTGGGGTCCGTCTATGCATGTGACTTGGTAACTTGAGAAATTCATATCTGCAACTGGATTTTATCGTCTACATGATATATTATGTAAGCGAGTTTATTTAATTAGGCCCCACAATCCATGGTGCAAACTTAGACCGTCTCCATTCGTATTGCAAAACGCAAAATTTGCCCTACTTTTCCTCCACCGTACTAGAATTCCGATCGCAAGATGAGTGTTGGCTCTCTCTCTCTCTCTCTCCTTTTGGACGCCCGGCCCAAAATTCTGCGTCCAATCATTTTTTTTTTCATTTTAGTCCCTCTTCTTTCATTTGTCTCATTTTTTTTTCATTTTAGTCCAATCATTATTAATTTAGATCATATGATATTTAAAATAATGAATATTATTATTACATTTTCTTCACAATAATAATGTCAAATACTAAAAAAATTATATTTTTCATTAAAATAAAATAGTATAATATTTAAAATAATAAATATTATATTTATCATTTAATTTTATATATTTCACAATAATAATATAAAATATACATATTGTTTGTGGTACTTTTATTTAACAAGAAGAAAACACTAGCATTAAACAACAACATTACTAATACATATCGAAATAACATTAAAATATGATAGATTACGATTTAAAGAAAAACACTTAAATAACTAGTGCTGAAATGAAATACAACATCACACATTAAAATAAAAATACATCATAAAATCAGAAATTAAAAACAAGCAAGAGAATTTAGTAATCTGTCAAGTTGGCACCGCTTCCTCCAAGATCATTGAAAAATTGGCCAAATGTATTGGTTGGAAATGGATCCGATTGGGCTTGTTGAGCTATTTTCTCCAAGATTCGTGTTTTTTCAGCTTCAATATATGCTCGAACTCTAGGATCTTCTATGGAACTGACATCTTGAAACAGAATTTTATATTCTTCCTCCATTTCTTTTAAAGCGTGGGATCAGTTGTGCATTATCAATTGGTGTTTCATTTAGTCGTTTGTATCTTTCATCTCCTCAATATGTTTTTTATTTTGTTCCTTCATAGCATTGATGATCGATGATGAATCATCATTTACCTTTCTTTTTATAAAAAGTAGCACACTCGAGCTGCGAAGATAAAAATAGAGGAGGTATTGCGTTCACGGCTAAGGAACTTGTCATCAACTTTAAGTTGAAGGATGTTAAGGGGCTGCATGTACCTCATAATGATGCTTTGGTGGTCTCACCAGAGGTCGCTGGATATGAGGTCCAACGTATACTCATTGATATTGGAAGTTCGATCAATATGATGTTCTATGATTGCTTCAACCAATTAGATTTGAATGTGGATCTGAAAGAGGTCATCACATCATTGTAGGGGTTTAATGGAGGTGAGGTTGTACCCATGGAGGAAGTCACTTTGCCAATTGCTTTGGGGTCATGACCGACAAGAAATGTAAAGATGGTGAGTTTTTTGGTCGTAAGGAAGGAATCTGCCTATAATATTTTACTGGGGCATCCGATCTTAAATTCATTCCAGGAGGTGGTGTCTACCTACCATATGAACATTAAGTACCCGATGGGTGGGTGACCACCTCACCTCAAGGTCGTGTTATCAAGTGACGATGAAAGTAGGGCAGTAGATGGCCAAAGGCGGAAGTAGCTCAAGAAAAGAAGGATCCAAGGGTGCTGGTAGTTCAAGTAAAGAGTCTGGCAGGTAAAGGACAAAAAAGGATAGAGGTGAGATGCAATCTGGAAAAGAACTTGTGGAAGTTCAACTGGTCGAATGTGTTGAAGGAAGGAAGATAAAAAATGGGAGAAATCAAGTTTAGCCATTGAAGGGTGAACTCATTAGTCTGAATAGGGAGTTTAAGGATGTGTTTGCATTTACTCCAGACTAGCTGATAGTAATAGAGACAAGTATCATTGATCACAAGTTGACTACCGATCCCAAAACTCGACCTGTGAATAAAAAAAGGATACACCATGGAGCTAAAATGGACAAGGTTATCAAGCTGGAGGTCGATACACTGTTCGATGTAGGACGTATAATTGAGATACAATATCCGGAGTGGTTTTCTATTACAGTCATGGACACTAAAGGGGAAGGGAAATGGAGGATGTGATTTTTTTACTTGAGCAAAGCTTGTCCTGCCCATTACCCTCTCCCCAGAATCGACCAGCTGGTCCAATCTACGTCAAGATGCGAGCTTCTTAGCTTGATGCACGCATCGCAAGGCTATCACCAGATTCCATTAGCTTAAGAGAACAAAAAAAGAGTAATCGCGCATCGCGACACGAAAAGTTTCAATTTATAAAGTTTTCCTTGACTAACCCCTACTAACTAGTATAAGTGACGAGTAAGGGTCGATCCCAGGTGGAGTAGGAATTAAATTGTGACAATCTCATTTTATTTGTGTGGCCAGGCGTTCATCGAAGATGCGTAGGATTAGTGCAAGATGGAATGGATAATGTTTAAGCTCCAGTCAATTGCTTTGAAGCTAGGTTTAGGCGATAGATTTGTCTTTAGCAATGCGGGCGGCAGATCGGCCAAGCTAGAAAGCGATTACGCGTGTCAGTCGAAAATGGAGGGATATGCAGGGAGACAGATCAGGTGGAGATTGCGACAAATTAGGGCATCGTGGTTCGATCGTAGTGGAA